TAAATTTCTGTTAAATTAAAGCTATTTTCAAATACCATTGTTACTCTTTGTTGACAAGTAAACTTTTATACTACCCTGTTCTGAATCAAGGGTGAAATAAATTTTGGATTGAACTAGATTGTACCTAAATAAAGCAGAATCTCTAAATGCCCTTAGATTACACTTGTTGGTTAATGATTGAAAAAAAGCCAAATTTTCTCTATCTCTAATAAAAATAAGATCTATATGGAGCGTGGAATACAATCAAAATATCACATCATTTTTGACTATTATGAAGGTATATAACTATGAACATTACTGTATAGAGAGTGGGATGGCAGAATTAACACAAAGCCATTAAACAGTCAGCATATGTGGGAAGAGTGTGGAAAGCACAAGGTGGTGACCTCCTAAAGCTGTAGAAGATCTGTGCATCTGTTTGGCCATTACAGTGAGAACAAGGCCTGGTTTTTATTAAGCGAGGACATTTTCCTCATCCTCAAGGGCTATTTTGCCAAGGGTTAGGTTTAGGACTTTGGTGTATATTGAGATCAAATTAGGGTTGGGATGAGGTAAACAGTGGTACTATTAGGTTTATCCAGATATCCCAAGCGCTATATTAATATGATTACATTTATAGGAGCAAAACATGCGGAATGAATGCTTAATTTAATATGACATAATTAAAACTCACCATCAGCATCAATCACAAATGTGTCTGCCCAAACCTTTTCTTTTTGTTGTGGGTTTTCGTAATAGGTATAGTTAGGATCATACTAAATTGGTTTGTTTTCTACTTCCAAACTCAGCATCTCTTCATCCATGCCTGCTATAGGAGGTTTCTTTTTAAGTTGTGAGAGGCGCTCTTGGAAGGACTGGATTTGATTAAACTTTTAAGCCTCCCAGTTTAATATAAATATTTTGATTGAGATGACAAAGCTTCCTTATGTGCCAATACTTTCCATCCAATAATTTAATTAAACACTATTAGTTTTGGGGAATATGTAAGAATTATGTTCAAATTTGTAGTTACCGATCTGTCAATAACCGTATTCTAATTTGACAAACAGGAACTTCTGGAAAAATATAGTTTGGCTCCATATTTTGACGGTGAAGGATGGAGAAGACGTACGTAGACGGTGACGTTCAGGGGAGTAGCGTGGATGTGGAACAGTTGTCATCAATTAACATGACTGCAAAAGTGCCCTGCACGACGTACATGTGGAAGGCATGGTGTCTGCGGGTTAGGGTTGTTGTCAGGTTTAGGGCAAAGAGAGGGTTGAAAATGACTAGAAAACAATGGAAGTCACCAGCACTCAAAACATGGTCCTCACTACACAAAGCGATGTGGGAGTGTGTGTGTTGAAGCTGCCTTAGATGAACATTGTTGGAGTAAAGTGATCTATGACCCAAACTGAAACTTAAGCAAAAAAAAAAGTAAAGAAAGGAGCTACAGAAGCTGATGTCAGATTGGATGTAACATTGCTAGAGTGTGTGTAGTCATATCTAAACCAGTTCTGTTTGTTGGATGCCCCTGAAACTAGAAAAGTCAAAGGTAAGTTTTTAGTCCTCAAGGGTTTTTGGCATTACGACGGTCTGACAGACTTAAAAAAAAAAAAAGGATCTGAGAGAGAGTTTAGCATCTGGTCATTTAACAACACAATTTGCCCCTTGTTTAACTTGCTTAAATCTTTACATTTTCCTGCTGTTAAAATATACTCGTGGAGGGTAAAATCCTGACTTCCTGTTTTACTGTCTATACCACCCACCTCCAGTTGCCATAATGACAAAATCATTTCTTATCGCAGTTCCAGGGGTAAGAGAAAATTTGAAAAAATTCAAAGAGAGATTTTGATATTTATCTGATATAAATCAATTTAAAATAACGTCCATTTCTAGCATCCTTGTTATAACTTTCCTTTAAGTAGCCCTTTCTTCAAGTTATTAAAATAATGCCTTAAGAGTAGGTCCACAAAAACTTCTTAAATCATAATGTGACTACAATTTTACTAGGTGGATACAGCCCAATATAATTTCCCCTTTTGTATTTTTAAATAAATATTATAGTTAGGTTTAATCAAAAAATCTACTAGAACAGCCTTTCTACATGAAGATAACATTTTGAGTTAAGCTGCTAGCATTTCAACTCCAAATAGGGTTTGATATCGGAGCAATAATGTTGAAAATAAACGAATCAATAACAATCATGTTAGCTCTGCAGATGGTTGGGTATAATTTGCCTCGTGTTGAAACGTAATATCTGTCTTGTATTCTAAAGATCTGCTCATTGTATAACAGGGGCAACTTTTTTTTCATTTTCATTTTACTGCCATAAAGACGCTGATGAGGAGGTTGAAAGTAAAACGAGCTGACAGTAACTCTTTCCAGCTTCGTTCTTCTGCACTGCTTACAGCCCAGAAAGGCAGCATCACAACAGGCTTGTGGAGGTGCGCCGCGTCCCCAGGATGAGGCAGCAGAGGGAGTCAGCGGTAATGAGAAAAATGCTAATTTAGTGGTGGAGATATTGCACTTGGCCTCCCTGATGAGGGATCAGGGGAGAGGCCAGCTCTGACTGTGGAGGGCAGAGAAGAAGATGGTTCTTAAAGTGTGTGTGTGTGGGTATGTGTGTGTGTTTGTGGTGGGCGTGGGGGAGATTAACTGGAAGAAGAGGTCTGAAAAGCAAGCTCCTGGAAACAGTGGCAATTGTGGATGCGAAGCAAGAAAGCAGCATCACCTGTCTTAAAAGTTAAAGGATTAGACATGAAGAGCCTTAACGTCTCTAGGCATCCTTGATTTAATTTCCACTCCTTCCTTTTAGCATTATTTGATCAGCTGCTACCCAAAGCAGAAGGGCTTCTCCCCCAGTGTTCCACTGGCATGAATTAGGGGCTCTTTTAAACTTCAGCTCATGTTAGCAACAGCAATACCCCTTTAGCTTAACCAAAATATTCATTTTCTCCTTATTATTAGTTTTTGAACATTGTATTTATCCAAATTAAATCATAACTTAATTATCTGTTTTGTATAAGTATGTTTATCATGTAACTCCGTAAAAATTCAAAAAATATCCACTGGACTTGGTTTCCAAGATTTGAAGACGTTTCGCCACCTATCCAGGAAGCTTTCTCAAACCAAGTCCAGTGGATATTTTTTGAATTGTTACGGAATGACTATGACCTGGATGACTGAGAACCTTCATCAGCATATTTATCATGTAACAGTTCCAATTCCAAAATAGATTGTTGTATGGGAAGTTAATGCCTTTATTTATTTATTTATTGTTTTTTATAGATAGCAGTTAAATGTGACATAAGTACAGTATATGTACTTAGTTTATCTCAAAATAACCCCCAGTGTAACCAAATGCCATGAGAAATCATCTATGTAGAAAATTTCTACTTGTATGTTGCTTAGTCAGTAAAATAATAGATTTTCTGTGGGAGGCCTGAGGGGTTTGTTAGAGAACAGCAGTGGACAAACAGCTTCATAAAGAAAGAAAGCAGAAAGGCCACATTAGAGCAGGGTTAGGTCGCGAGACACGAACCTATGTTTTGATCTTCTCACGGTAAAATTCAAGCAAACACTTAAAGGCTGAAGGAATATTGTCAAAACTGCAAAACTACCTAAAGGTGTTTGCATAACTAAGTCCAGGCAAGGAAGGCCCGGCCAAGAGGCCCATAGTGATTCTACGGAAACTGCATGTGTCCACAGTTCAAGCATGAAAATTTGATAAAAAAAGTAATATGAAATCCAAAAATCTTTATGAAAGAGTTTAATTTAAATAAAGTAACAGGACCATTTTCAAGAATTCAGATAGGAAACAAAGGAGACCAGTGGAAGAAAAAGCTTTGATCAGATGAAACTGAACTTCTTCACCAGATTATTCCCAAAACTTTTTAAAAGTTAAAAAAACAAAACACTGGACTTTGTTTTCCAAGTTTCAAGATGTTTCGCCACCCATCCAGGAAGCTTTCTCAATTCAAAATGTCTGGTGTAGCTTTTGAGTTCCATGCTTGGAGGAGCTGGTGGACTGGTGCAGAAATAAAAGCTTGGGCCTCAACATGGAGAAGACGAAGGAGATCATCTTGGATTTCAGGAAGAACTGGCCTATCCATGCTCCACTGGTCATCAACAGCTCAGCAGTAGAGGTGGTCAGCAGCACCAAATTCCTGGGGGTGCACATCACAGACACCCTCACCTGGACTTTAAACATCACCTCACTGGTCAAAAGGGCACAGAAGTGCACGTACTTCCTGTAGAGGATGAGAAGAGCCCACCTGCCCCCACCCATCCTCACCACCCTCTACAGAAGCACCATAGAGAGCGTTCTGACCAGCTGTCTCACAGTGTGGTGTGGAGGCTGCAGCACCTCAGACTGGAAGAAAGTGAGAAGAGTGGTGAGAACAGCAGCGAGGATCATCGGGGCTCCTCTTCCCTCCATTAAAGACATTTCATTTCATTTCCAGTGCTGTGTGTCCCAAGCCCATAAACCGTGACCCCTCACACCCCCACCATGGACTGTTCTCCATGCTGCCCTCTGGGAAGAGGCTTTGCAGCATTCCATGCAGGTTCCAGCAGATTCTGCAACAGCTTCTTCCCTACCACCATCAGACTGCTGAACTGTTGAGCAAACTCTAAATCATGACACAGACTCTGCATCACACTGATAACATCAAACTAAAAATACTGCATATTTGCACCATATATATTTATGCTTTGAACTTCCAAATATCAATGTGTTTCCTCCCACACTGTTTACATTTGATCACTGCTGCACTTTAAGGAATTGAAATGTTAATTCACTCCCTGAAAAGCTGTACTAAATGAAATTTTGTTTTGTATACACTGAATACAACATAACAATAAATCGAAATAATAATAATAATAGAATAAATAGAATGGCAGAAACAAAAAAAACAGGTCCGTCGTTTTTGGCCTTCAATACCCGATACTGGCCCTTGCCTCTGAAAAGGGAGTTGTTAGAGTTGTTGTTGGCCTGGCTGACATGGCGAGCTGTTTTTCGGTCCCCTGCACAATCCGATGAGGATTTTGATAGTGGGAAGGGATCAACCATTGTTGCATTGAAGGTTTTTGAAAGCTTAAACCTCTGTTTAAGGTTGGTTTTTCTCTCTTAACATAAATTACTTCCTTCACACCGCTCTCAAACCACGTCTTCTTTGTCCAAAATGTGAACATTTTGGTTCTCAAACAAGTGTTCTTTGTCCTTAAGGTGTAAGTGGACAGCAGAGTCTTGTCCATAGGAGGTAGGTCTCCTGTGTTGAGCAATCCGTCTGTGGAGAGGTTGTTTGGCTTCTTAAAGATCAGAGGATTCCTCACTGCACCGAACTGCATACACCACTCCTCTCATCTGGGGTTTTGCCTTTACGATGCATCAGTCTTTGTCTCAGGGTCTTGTCTGGTTTGAAATGAATCAAAATCCCAGTACATTTCAAAGTTTCCAGTGTTTTGTTTTTAAACTTATAATTTTGTTGGAATAACTATGACCTGGATGACTGAGAATCTTAACCAGCATACAGCAGATTCTGTTTTGCAACCTCCCCAAATTGAAACGTAATGGCAGCTCCCTCCTGTATGGATACTTCTCATCACTAAGGTAGATGGTCAATTGTTGGGATTATAGATGGTGCTAAATACAGAGTACTCCTCGAAAAAAATATCTTTTAAAGCTTGAAAAAGACTTGAAACTTAAGTAGAGGCTTATGTTTTTGCAAAATGTTGACCCTTAACTAAATCAATTTGGCAATCTCTGGCAAGGCCTAAAACTATACTCTGTGTTTTCAGACATCACCCTTCCAAACTAAGAGAGCTTGAATTACTTTGTAAAAAAGGGATTGTAGATGAATTCTGTGGATTATCAGAGCTGTTAGCAACATAGTCTAGACAAATTTTCAGCTGTGTATCAAAAAAGTTTCCTCATTTACTTGAAAAGGCTGAACCCAAATACACACCTCACTTTTTACTTGCTAAGTTTTCTGAAAGCCATGTGTCTTTCTTCATCTACTCCACAAATATCTACTTCTCTGTGGAAGTCCTTCACATAAAATCCCAAACAAATACACTGAAGACCAACCACTGTGCACATTCTATCTCCCAATCCAGACTGTAGTGCTTGAATAACATCGAAGTGTCGGTTTTTCCCCCTGTATAAACACCACCCTAAACCTCCTTCCCCACAAGATAAAAGCATCAACACTCACAGTCTCTGTAGTCCGGTGTAGAGCTCCATATCGACGTCTCTCAGAGTTTGCAATCCCGTCCAGTTCTCTATGTGTCTGCAAACAACAAGAAAAGAGGATCGTAAATGAGACATACCTTCTCATCTGAGACAGAAAAAAAAACAACCAAGAGAAAATGATGGGGAAAAACAGTTTTTCAAAGTCCCCCGCTGTAAATTAACTGGCTGCGTTTTGTCAAAAGTTTTTAAATCCATATTCATTTATACTGCAATAATTGGAACAGCTCTGACAGAGTGCTCTCTGCTGCCCTCTGATAGATTTAATTGCCAACAGGCAGCTTCTGAAGCTTAATCTATGTACGGGGAAATAGGGGGTGGGGGTGGACCAAATAAACACTGCAGATGGCTTTACTTCTGTTAACAATGTCAAATTCCATAGTAAAACTCTTTCTGTATATCTGGATAAGGAAAGCGCAGTTCATGCCTATAAATTAGCTCCTGGGAAAAGGCCATTTTGAATAAAGCGTTTGGTATGGTTCTAAGAGGACAGAATGCAACAGTCCCATTGCCTTTCATAATGCTGGAATAAATAAGGAGATAAAAAGGAACATATCAAAATGGTTTATGGTTTTGGAAGAAAGAGGAAAATGTGATGGAAAGCTTAAGGTTAACGTAATCTTAAATTTAAATCAAAGGCGGGATCATAATGCTCAGTATATAACATCATTACTGCTAAGTTGAACTTCACTGACTGTATAAATCCTAACCTTAGAGGCACTTAAACAATCTATTTAAAGAAGATAAAAAGGTATGCAAAGTTTATATTTATCATGATCCTTCTTGACTCCTTAGTAGAGTTGCACATGATAAAAGATCATGAAAAAGACCTAATATGCATATTATACAGCAACGGCTAAAATTTAGGCTTTAATCAAAATTTTAAAGATACAATTCCCACAAAAGTTCTAATTCATAAAGGCCATCTTTTGAGTGTGTCACGTTCACATGACACTTATTGATATAATGTCTTAGTTAGTAAAATTATGCTCCAAATATTCATGAGAATAGAAGACTTCACATACATAATAATCCACCAAAGTTCTGTGTTCTAACACAATGAAACTGCAATAAATTCAAAAACAAAAATTCTAAAACAGAAAAAAAATAGATATGTATCAGGTGCAAATCATTTTAAAATAACAAAAAATTATCGGTTGGAAAGATGTTACTGTTAAACTTTTGATATGTTTATTTGAGCACCAGAAAAGTAGTTTTGTCTCTGTGAAAATGGAAAACATTCTTTTGCACATGTAACCTTCTGCACCAAGTACATGGTGTGATGAATAATCACGTTGTATGTTTTACTACAACACCAGTTTAAAGGAGCTAAGGATGAGAGTATTTGAACTTCTGCTCAGCATTTTTTATCTAAAAAGGGTTTTTACAAAGTACCAATCATGCGAGTATCTTATCTGACAATAAGGCTAAATTGCTTTTGTGTCCTTCCAGCACCACAGATGCTTTTATAGTTCTTGAAATCTTTTTGAAGGTTCTGGATCCACTCAAGTGTAATGAGATCAGAAAGTAAAAACGAATTGTAGATGCACAGATTAGGAGTGATCTTTATACAGGAATAAAGAAGAAATGGATGCTTCCAGTTAATTCTCTGCTATACCAAATTAAGAAAATGCTGAGGTACAAAGATATTAATTACTTAATCAGTAGTAAACAATATGATCAAAGCTAGTGTTATGCATATGCTTACAGGGTGGAATGTTTTTTTTTTTTTTTTTTTTTTTTTATCCCATGACATGGACAATAATACTTTCACTGAAGGCACATTAATAGCTGACCCAGCAGAACACATTGAATAAAATGGTTTGGCAACTCTAAGTGTCTCACACTGGCAGTGACAGTTCTGCTGTTGTGATCATTTTCAAAGAGGTAGTGTGGTGGGGGGTGTCTAAAGATTCTCAAGGGGCAATGCACAGTCCACCTGTAAGCAGAAAAGGCTGATAAATCTCACTAGGATTTATTCATTGACAGTAGTTGCTGTTCTACAGCAGACATGCTGAGGGAGGCTAAGATCAGAGGAGGGATCATCGTCCACACCCTGAGCTGCCTTCTGCTGAAAACTGGAGATCTAATCAGCAAACTTAAGATTCAAAGCATGTATTATGCATATCAAATGCACTGTTCCCATACTGTCATGTGATATAGTTTTGTTTTGATTTCACATGGTGGTTCTATTCATGTGAAAGCATGGTTTCTTTTGACAAAAAAAAAAGAAAAAAGAGGTACTTCAGTCTCCAACACATAAACAATATTGTTAGTGACAATTCAAAAGAGCAAATTATGGTTTGTCCAATCAGGCTACAAAAATTTGGCCAGACTTCAAAATTCCTAATATTATGAACAATGAATGACAATGTTAGCTGAACAATCTGAACCCCAGGGAGATGCAAATGAATTTGGAAATATTCAGTTTGATCTTGCTCCTGTTATAACAGCTATGTCGCTCTGAACCAGCTTCACCTTTTCTCAGTAGTATACTCAGTAGTATATTTACCTCTGACAGTGCTTCAAATGACATTCTGTACTTGTTTTCTCTTTTCTTTTAAAAAGTCCAGGAAATGTTTTCTGTGGCACAGGTCAGGTCAGGTCAGGTAACTCAGCCAGATTGCCCTCATGTTTTTGGATTTTCAAGCAAGTCTTGTAAAGAGATAATCCCAAATTCATTACTTAGGTGAAGGGTTGGGTTGGTAGTACCTCTGTTTCTGCCACAAACCCTCCCACTGAGAATAATCACAAAGAAGGACCTTTCCTATTATCTGCTGTGAAATGCTGTTGGCTGATTTATCCATGCAAAGAGGGGTTAAAGTAAAATTTGTGTGGTTCTTCCTCATCTTCGTCCTTTGACCTTTTTAGGTTCTGGTCAATCAATCAAATCAATCTAAATGTTTAGTGTAAAAAGTGTTTAACATACCGTAAGGTAACCAAAGTGCTACAAAAGGTTCTAGAGAACTTCTTCGACTAAGTAATGGAGCTATCTCCCATATGACATGTACAAGATGTGCTTCAATTTATTTCCACTAACACAACCCCCCAAAGACAGACCATTCAATAAAAAAAAAAATTAAAAAAAATCAATATTCTTAATGGAAAAACTGCAGTTCAGGTTTGATTAGTCAAAATATTTTACCTTTAATAAGAGTTTGAGAAATCACCCTTCATATTCCTTTGAAAATAAGGAAATAGTCTTTTAAGTTCGCTCTGATTGGACACCAAGTATTACCATAGCTTTTTTGCTGTACTTACACAAAGATCTACATTCGCCTCTCAGAGGAGTTTCTTCTTCTTCTTTTTCATCACAGCTCAGCTTTTACATTTTTTTTCGTTTTATGTTATTCAGACATTTGGGTTTTAAGTTTTCATTTTACTTTTACTTGTTTATGCCAGCGTCCCACCCAAATCCCACGACTATAAAACGACAACTATAAAGACATGCTTTATATCATAATGAGGTGTTAAACCAGATTTTCAGTTAATTGATCATCTTTGTATATGTGAGTAGGTGTTTCCAGATTTATTTATTTATGCATGGTTAAAATCCCTGATCAAATTTTACCAAAACATTCTGACTCTCAAAATCTTTTAGGTATATTCTAAAACAAAGGTATTACAGTACACCTTTGAGATGTATCTTTGCTTTAACAGACCAAAGTCAAATAATCTGGTCATTGGCAGGACTCTGGAGAATGACTGCATACTCAGGAGGCAATTCTGCAATTAGGCACATCTAAAACATGCTGGGCACCAAATTGCGATGACTGGGATTGGATCCTGCCACCAAAAGATAAAGCTTTCTATGTTTTGGGGAGGAAAACTAACAAGAAAACCAAGAACTGAAGACTTTGTGCAATATTGTTTCTACAAATGAATCCGCATTGAATAATCATGTTCATGAAAGTGATACATTGCAAAAGTTCTGAAATTTTAGGAAATGAAATATAGTTTAAAAATCCATCAGAACAGTTTTGCTTACTTTCCAGTTATGTGTGCCAAAAATGTGCTTAATTCAAATCAGTATTGAGCAGAAAACAGATAACTACAGTAGTCAGAGTTAGAAGTTGCCTCATCAAAAAGATAACTGAGTTAGCAACTAAGTTAATGCCAGATCAACTAGTTGCACAGCAAAGTAATAATACAGTTCCTTTTTTTATTTCAATTCAATTCAGTTTATTTATATAGCGCCAATTCACAACAAGCATCATCTCAAGGCACTTTACAGTTCAAAAGATCATACAGCCAGATTGATTCTAAGTTTTCTATCTAAGGAAAACCAGTTGTTGCATCGACTCATTGACCTGAAGGCAATTCCTCACACTAAGCATGCAGGTAGTGACAGTGGAGAGGAAAAACTCCTTTTTAACATAAAGAAACCTCCATTAGAACCAGGCTCAGTGTGAGCGGCCATCTGCTGAGGCCGACTGGGGTTCAAGGAGACAGAAGCAGAGATACAAAAAGCAACTGTAAAAGGCGGCCCCTTCCAGGAAACACACAGTCATCTCAGTCATGGCAACAGCAAATAAGCTTTTGTTTAGTTTTCCTTCAGCCCAACTGCCTCGAATGCTACCCTGTTTGTTGTTCCTTTTCATTGATAAAAAAAATGAAGTTCAATGATTTTTCTGTTTCCTTTACATTTCAATCAAATCATAAAAACTATTTTGTTAAAAGCAGGTGTGGAAACTCCATTTCCAGGAAGTAAAAAGCCTGTACAGAGATTAATTCCTAGTATCATTTGCAATTAAAGCTTCACAACATAGACAAAGCTAATCACCTGGGTAAGTGAAGATGGTGAAGAAAACCGAAGCAGGGTTTTTACTTTCTAGACCTGGATTATTCACCTCTGGTTAAAGGCTTTAATTCAAATAAACCAAAATAAATGCATCGAGTGCTTGACTTCATAGGATTGTTAGGTTTATTAGCATTAATGCTTATAAAGCAACAAAAAACAAATACAAAAGTATATGTTAGAATTAAACAGAAGAAAAGAAGAAGAAAAACAAACAAAAGCTAAAAAATATAAATACATTT